ATTCCTTAAAGTTTCAGTAACGGTAATCTTGTTTTTAAACATGTAGAGACCATGACACCCATGAAAAGAATGCTTGCCTGATTCAGCTTCATGCCTAGCACCATTTAACATTGGAAATATAAATACAAAACCCTTTTTTAATTTTAAGTCTATGTAACATAACCCTTAGACCGATGTTATTTGCAGTTATGACTGTAAGCTAACAGCGGTTAGTTATCTGCAGTTAAGGGTGCAGCTGCAGATAAAAAAGTTTCTCTTATTTGCAGTCAGCTCAACTGTATGCATTTAACAAATCCTTATTCGCAGTCAATTTCTAAATTTTGAAGAAGCAACGAATTGTGGGGAAAGGACCTCCCTGAGACTTGAGAAAGGGTGAAAGGGCCGCCTTTTCTGAAACCTGAGAGGTGTGTCAAAGACTTGTATGGACCAAGAGAGGACGACACTTGTTTTGACATCATATTGCTTTCATCAGGGTTTTCCGCATTATGCTCTTATTCTTGTTAGTGCAACAGTTACCAGATTTTCTCTAACAGAATGTCTTACAAATTGCAGATTTATATGCAACAACTCACAATATTATTATTTTTTGGAAGGGTTTTAATAAATAAACTAATGATAATCTCATCATGATACATGTGTTTTATTTGTATGTATATCAGTCCAATCTAATATTTGTTTTACAAAAATTAGGGATGATAGCATATCAAGAATAGCTTTACACGAATGAGCGAATGAGCAAGTAAAATAGCAGATAAAGATCTCTTACAATGAGTTAGAAAGAGGAAATACAAGCACTTCTGAAGAAATTATGGTTGCAAACAACATATAAAATTAGTACAATACCAAATTCGGCATCAACATAGTCATGCAATAAAATATATCAGAAAATACTAATTCAGAACACTAACATCTTTGAAGAGAAATCATTCACTTAGAGATGAAGTCATACAATAAGAAGAAAGAATTAAAAGAGCACATGACATTGTACTGCAATGCGTATGCATTAACAGCGAATCCAGGCTTATGGGGTCTCATCGACAAGGTAAGATGTGCGAATCCTTGTGGGAAGATTGCGGGTTCGAACAGGCCTTCCTACATGTTCACCTTGATGCTTTGCAAGAAAAGAAGAGTTTCTGTTAAACCAATGTTATAAGTTTGAGTGATAATTTGTTCTAAGAAAAATGCTTACCATGTTGTCAAGTTCAGCTAAGACCTCTGGATAAGAGGACAAAGGAAGTATAATTACATATTTCAATAGAAAGCCTATTACATGTTTCACTCTTAAACAACCTACCATTTAAGATGGGATCATCTCCGGTATTAGGAGGATTAGGAGGAACATCTGAACAACCTAAGGGGGAAAAAATGTTAAGTTCAACTGAACTAAAATGGAAATAGTCTTATTAAATAGTATTTTACCTATCTTGGCGCATTTCAGGCATAGCCTATCATCTCCTCCATATCCTTCACTTCCTCCTTCCCTTTGAACAGAACACCCAAAAGCATGCACTGCTATTCCACACTTAGAGCAATGATGACCACCATTCGGGTCAGGTGGTGCAGTTTTGCACATAGGGCAATCTAGAAATTTCAGAAAGTGGATGCTAGTGAGGTCTCAAACATAACATAATAGATAGATAAATATAATAAATAAAATGTATTAAAATACCATTGGCAACAATTTCATCTTCTGATGGCATATTAAAAAATAGGTGCTCTGAATCATTTAACAAATAATGAAATGAAGCGCTTGTGTCAACTTGACTAGTATCTGTAAGAGAGGAAATAGGGGCTTTATCTTCCACAAAATACAACTGCAGACAAACTTAAATCAAATGGGAAATGAAAAGTAAATAAACTAAGACTTGCCAATTTCATTTCTTGGAGCTATATTTTTCAGAGTATCAGCCCATAATACCCACATCCCGATTCCTTTCCCTCAGGGCACTCAAAATATTCCCTACCTTTGCATTTGAATGAGCTTTGCCTGCAACATTGAAGGAGCACAAAGATTTAATAGGAGAAAAATACGCCCACATTCTCACATACACCGTTCACATTTTTAGGTATACCTCTTTGCAACAAGCTTACAATTACACTTTGGGATGTAATATCTTTTGGGAGGTCTTGGTTTGGTTGGGGTTACACTGAAATCACCTATAAAAATATTATTTAAAGTTGGCGTACTGTGTGTAACTTCAAACTGCTAACATAACTTGATCACTTACTGCATTCAGATATGGTTTCACTCAGTTTTCTTCGGCGGAAAGGGGCTGGAAAGAGGGGCATGCCAAAGTAAAGTATTTTCATGGTATTCCATATGAGTACTGATTGATATAAAAATTAATTTACTTGAGCTTAATGATGGTGGCGTGGAGGCTTTCCTCTTCCTTGTTGTGACATTCACAGTGGACTCTGCAGGCGGTATAATAATTGAAGATTCATCAGTGAATGATGAATCATAATCCACAAGCTTCTAAAACAGTACCCATTGCAATGTAAAACAAATACTTTACAAAATTACCGTGCACAAACATATGCAGACATGCTTACGTTGGGTTTCTCAGTTTTAATAGTCACTGTATGAGTTGAAAAGGTTTCCGACTCAGAATCACCTTCAAAAAAAGGAGATATATGATTTGAATTTCATTACAGAGGACAACTTTAATCGACAATTCAATGACTTACTTGATAGAACAATAACATCGTCTTCTGGAGGATGCGGCAGTTCTTGAACACCTAGAAATTTTATAAATATAATGCACAATTAATTCCTAAACCAATACACATAAGGAAAAAGATGCTCTGAGAAAGACCATGGCATGAAAATGAAATAGGAGGTAATCATATTTTCTAAAAGATATGGTAGACTAAACATGAAATGTTGCTTGTGAAATATATTCAAGGTCAAATGTGGAAAGACCAACACCATATGTCAATAGTACACGTTAAAATGGAAGCTATGTTGTGGTTTGATTGTGCCATGCATGTGCAAAGGTATGTGTGGTTAAATAAATAGTGTACACCAGACTGGCTGGAGTTTTGGAGAGGAAAATATTTTGGCAAAGCCAAAGCAAAACAGAAAATTGATAAGACTTAAAAATTACTGAAAGAATTCAGCTTGAACCAATGAGAAGATGTATGGGGACTAAGAAAAAGACAATGACAACCAAAACCACTATGCAAATGTTTGCACATTATCAGCTGAAGAAGAAACCAATGGAACCAGAATCATTGTGCTATTTATCAGAAATTCAGAGCCACAGAAGGGAAGAACAGCGAACCAATTGAATAGCCAAGACTGCTCTGGCAAGACAGTAGTACTCAACCTGTGTCTGCAAAAGACTTACCCCATCCATAATCAATACTGAGTTGAATAAGTCCTCAGAAGGACTGTTAGTCCTCAAAAGGACTGTTGAGGTTCCAGCAACTGAAATCAGAGGTGGAAATATAAAGTACCTATTTATGTCTGTGACAAAAAGGTAGTAACACAAGGTACCATGATTTTGTGAGTAACCTGATTGAGTGATAGACAGACTATTCAACCCTAAAATGAAATGCTGCTGCTGCTGTCTCAGAGATGTTCATAGTTCACACAATAATAAGAGGTCTGATTTGAAAATTTGATCAATTGAGTTCAGATAGTGAATCGTGACATGATTCTCAGGAAACCATGAATGCTCCAATGAGAATGAAAGAATTTGGCAAAAGATGAAGGGACATAATTCAAATTGAATTCAGGAATATGGATCTGAACAGTAATTTGTGAGAAATTATGATGAAATAATGAAAAAAAAATGGTAATACAGTAATATATAAAGAGAAGGGTGGATACGTACTTCCTTCAACATGTGGGAAAACCACATGGCACTGAAACTTCCAGCAGCCGTAGTATGTTCCTCCTTGAATAGTTTTCCTCCTGAAAAAGAAAGGAATTATGAGGACACGTATTTATGTTTGAGGCCACAATATTTCCATGAACAAACAAATTTACATTTGGCATTTATCCCCACAAGCACACACTGGCACATCAAATAAAATGAATTTGCAGCCTTGTCCACGAGGTTTTGGACACGACCAGAAATATCTTCCATGATTCGGACCATTATTAGTGCACTTTTGTCTGACAGCAGCAGATTTATCGACGCAATGACACAGCTTATCCGGTTCAGAACTGGTGTCCATCAAACCTGTAGACAAATACATAGAAACTTTAGCAGCAAAATTTCACTGTTTCTAAAGCAATAAGCAAAATCTTTCTGCTGTAAAAATAAATACATATGATGCTCTTTTAAAAAGAAAACATTAATCGACCCTCCCTACGTACAAGTGGCTATCTTTTTGGGCGTGGCAGACAAAAGGCTATCTTTTTGAGCTGGGCAGACAAACGGCTAACTGCTTTTCCCACCTCGCGACTTTGGGTTCTAATATCTCACAGTAGAGGTTATGAAACACTATGAGTGTTTAACCAACTGTTCTTTGCTGTTGTCAGAGCACGAAATTTCTTACACGGTAATTTTATGTCTCTTGCTTCGGGAGTTATTCAATATAAACGTGGACAACCCTAACCTCAAAGAAAAGCAGATAGCCGTTTGTCTGCCAAGCTCAAAAAGATAGCCTTTTGTCTGCAACGCCCAAAAAGATAGCCACTTGTTCGTAGGGAGGGTCGTAATGTTACCATCTTAGTTGATCTTATTTAAAAACATAACTTACTTTGACTAGCTTTGGCTTTAGACACTTGATTTTTTTTTCCTAAGGAAAATACGAGGAAAAATAAATGTTTGTACATTATACCAGCACACAAACGGAGCAAGACAAATTGGAAAAACGAACCTTGCTGCTTCTTGAGACCAATAACTGACTGTTTTTCTTTGCCTTTTGGCCTTCCCTTGGGTACATGACCCACAGGTAGGGTCAATTGGCTCCTCATGCCAGGGTTTAGGTGTTTGTACTGGTCTCCTGATGTAATTTTTTGATTTTTAGAGCCAGTAGAAGAGTTTACATTATGATTGATGTTTTGGTTAGTTTCAACTGAGTTCAAATTTTCATGCTGAGGTGGGTTATTGTTAGCCACGTCCAAATTTTGACAAAGGCCAGACTCAGTGCTTACATTTTCAGTCTGATCATCTGCATTTGCAGTTCCTTCATCAACAAGATTAACATTCTCTGAAGAAAAATAAAATAAAATGAGATAAAAATGGACACATTTTTCAAAATTTGTCAAATTTTGACAAATAAATACCGTAAAGAAATCCTTCAGTCCCCTCTTCAAGCACTCGTATTTCTTTCCCTCTGGCCCAGATTCTTGTTATCTTTTCAAGGGCAGCTTGTCTTTTGGCAAACTGTTCACCACCACAAGTCTTAACAATCTGCAATAGGCGTGTGGTGTATTCCACAACAAGATGAAAACGTTTGTTTTCAGAAAGAGGTGTCTTTTTAACCTTTAATGGATTTGTGATGTAAAGGGCAAGTGAATCAGTATTGTCTTCATCAATGAAATTTTTGATGCCAGATGAACTATCTTTTTGCCACCTATCTGGTATAGTTGCAGCATCAAATATTTCAACACCTGTTACAATAAAAGAAGAGCAGTAATGTTAATAGATTTTAAATCAGTTCAGACCTTAAGTGCATATTTAGGAAACACCTACCATCTCTCAATCGACCCAAAAAGATGTGGCTACAGGGCAACTGAAACGATGTGAAAAATCTGCAAGTGCAGCTGGAATAATCAAATCCAGATGGGAGAGCATCCGGTATGGAAGCCTTTTCCATAGCCCAGTTGTATTGAGTTTGCAGGAGACCACCAACAAATGGCGTTGTAGAGTTTGCAATTTGTTGAACGATCGGGTCATCATTATTGGTGATATATCGTATCTTGACTTTGCCATTAAATGTATTCATGGAAACCCGGGACGTTTTGGAAGTGTGTAACAAAAGTAGATTCCGTAGCAACTCCACCATACTAGGTCTCTTCTTCTTTAGAATTGCTTTGATTTTTTGGTTATGGCTCTCTGCCATATTTGTTGTAGTCTGCCCACAGTTGAGAGACAAATCACGATCAAACATAGTCCAGCATTCTCGGCAGTTGTGCCAGTTGTCATTGAAGTATTTGAAGAAATTTTTTGATGCGACGCACTTCAACTTGTCATATAGTTCAAAGTAACATTCTTTGGTTGAACAGTATGCCAAACCCTCCAGAATGACCCGAAGATTTTCACGGTCACACTCATCCTTGGTTTGCCTGTTGAAGATTTGCAAGGTGTGGAATAGACAGATGTGGATAATTGCATTGGGAAAATACTGCCTGATAGCTTCACGCTCATTATAATCTTTATCAACCAAGACAGTTTTCACATTGCCTTGAGCTGTGGGATGAGATTTGCAGAACGCATCAACAGCATTTTTCACATTTTCTTTGGATTCATCCCTCAGAAGGCAGTAACCCACCACTCTTCCATTGCCGTATGCATCCAGACACAAAAACACCATCAAGGGCATGTCATATTTGTTGGTACAGTATGTGGAGTCAGCTATCAAAACATCTGAATACTTTTCGAATGTTTTCCCCATCTCCGAGGTGTGAAAGTAAACATAATTAAGACGAGATTTTTGTTGATGGGATTTTTCTTGACTTGCATCTGGAGAGAGATCATCATCTACATCTTCTTCACCTTCCATCGGCTCAACAGGTTCAACACCGAAAACAACTTTGGATCCAGGATCATTTTGAAGCAAGGTTTCCAGCTCGTCAAAAAATTCTTCCGAATCAGTCCTCCCATTGTTTTGGGATCGCTTTAACTTGGCTCTGTGGAAAAAAATCAAGATTATAGAGAAAGGCAAATTTAAAAATTAGTTGAAAAGGAAAAGCGATTCCTGCATTGCAGTAAAACTTACTTAATGTTAGCTACATCCTGTGGTGTAAATAATTTGTTTTTGAAATTTTGTAAATAATCTAAGAGTCTGGTGGTTTCAACATTCAGCCCTAATAAATTCTCAATTTCTTCAAGTAATTCCTGATCTAAATTTTTTCTTCTATTCTCAGGATAGTTTGGGTAGTCTTCAGGATCCGTTTCATGAATATGTACATGTTGAGAAACAATTTTGTTAACGGTCAGTAGCTGAGTTTGCTCATTGATTTGTAGAATCACCAGAGCAGGACAGTTTTGTTTGAATGAGCTACAAAGACATACCCAGAATAAATTAAATGTGTTCTAAAATGGATCTAAACAATACCACTGGAAGTAAAATTTGCAAATGCAGAAACTTACTTCTGGTTGGGACGAATCCCTTTACTGCTAGGCCGTTGGTCACCAAAATGCTTACATGTGAACTTTACTCTAAAATACTTCAAGGATGCAGGAAAGTTTGTACCTTTTTGCTTGTTGTGGGTAAGAACCAATTTGCTGCCATTGACGACATAAGGCACACTATTGATCAAGGAATACCTTGCCATGGCCTTTTCAACATCTTTAAAGGAGGAATAAGCAGCACCCACACTAATATTAGGAGGTCCTGGGTCAGGTCCTAGATTGAAGGACAAAAGCAGTAGTTAGTAAACTTGGCATTAAATAGGCCTACAAATCTTGACAATTAAACGAGAGATCAAGAGAGGACAATTTAAACATATCCAAGAGTCATAACCTCTATTCCTCTTGCCGGCTTACACAGAAGAAGGCCAAGGAGTAGAGGAATTACTAAAACAACGAGAGAAAAGGCAAAATATCGACTTACCTTTTTGTTTACTAAAAACAGCAGGCATTTTGACAAAGTAACAAACAGCAATTGAAATTTATCGGGTCTCCGGGGCTGTAGACGGCTAAAGGTAGAAGCTCAAACGACCGACTGGGCGCGAAATAGCGGGAAGAATCTCGACTGAATCGATTGTCAATTGTAGTATAAAATTCCGGCACTGCCAACGTTAACGTTATTCATCCTGTATTTCATTCACCTATCTTATTGACCACTATTTATTAAAGCATTACTTTCATGCTTTCCTTAAGCCAAGGTGCCTTGAGCATTATTTTCATGACTTTCTATTTTAATGGAACATTTCCACCTGCATTGGACGGCCCAACATGTCAGAACTTGTAACTGCGAATAATATGCCAGCTGTTGACCGCAGTTGCAGTCATGACTCCGAATAATATTTGCTTCACTGACCGCAGTCAGCTTCGCAACTGCGAATAATGTTGAGAACTTTGACCGCAGTCATTTATAACTGCAAATAGATACTCCGTAACCCTTACATGTGTTTACATAAAATATCATGAATAGAGCTAAGCCTGGGTGTGAATGTTATTTAATTATCATGTTATATTGAGTTTACCACCAAGGCATTAGTAATCTGATTCTAAAACCATAGCACAACACTTGGTTTGTAAAAGATATTTTGTTTTATTCACCAAAATTCCATGGTAATGTAAAAATACTTATTTTCATAATAAATAGTTGATCTTAAAAGTTTTGAATTCATTCTCATGCTTAATTTTGTTGCTTTCATAAAAAGAAACATGTTTCATATCACTTCCAACCATGATCAGTGCTATAACATTTAGTTTAAACCCTTTTGTGAACTTATCCGCTAACCATCATTTGCATATTTTTATTTTGACCCCTCCAGGTCACTAAGTAGATGTGGTTGAAAATCTTTGTAGTTTTGTAAATTAATACTTCCCTAAACTACTTCTGAATATATCTGAGTAGGGAGAAGTGCTCCAGCTTTGATAATTTAGCCAATCAAAATATAAAGGATTCCTTATAGTTTGGGAAACGGAAATCTTGATTAAACTAGTTTGGGAGGGTTGAGACCCCACATGTATATGTTTAACTCATTCAGCTTCACCTCTACCACGATTTAACATTGAAATAAAGCATGTCACTCCATCTTTTCAAGTTTTGAAGGGTAATGGATAACACAAAAAATGAACTTTAAAGATATTTATTGCCTTATGGGCTAATCATGTAAAAAAATAAAAAAAATTGATCACAGTAAAATCACAGATGCAAAATGAAGGTGAAACGATACTCTCTGGGGATGAGGTGATGATTGGTAAAAAAAATTATGGGTGATGAAACGAAACCCTAGAGAGATGAAGATGACACGATCACATTGAAAGTCACAGATGAACAGTAAAAAAATAAAAATAAAAAAATAAGTGCTACACCTTCTCCTTCTTCAACTTCTTCATCTTCTTCATCTTCTTCTTGTCACTCTTCTTCTTGTCTCTCTCCCCCATGCTGGCCAGGGCTTTTGCCCTGAGGGTGGCCTCCTGTGAACATAGGGTATGAACGCATTAGAATTTTTTGTTGACAGACACCATAGGGGAGGCGACCACAGCACGGTACTCACATCTTCCTCCATAAAGAACTCGTCCCCTCGGACCTCAACATCCTCCCAGAAGGCGGGCTCGGGCTCGGGCTCGGGCTCGGGGATGACCATGACCTCGGGGATGACCATGACCTCGGGGGCGGGGGGCGGCGTTGGGACGGGCACCGCCACCAGAGGGGCTCCGTCCAACTGGTACTAGAACACACGAAAATTTGTTGCTGAACCACTAACCTACAAGAGACACTCACACACACACACAGGCACAGGCACACGCACACACACACGCACACGCCCCTCCACACAGGGAATGACAAAAGGGCATTTTGACACTTTTCGGACATATTTCACTCGGATTTTCACTCTCACGCACTCGGCCCCCCGTTTAAACGCCCATTCCCGAACTAGAAATCCACAAATTACTTTGCGTTCGCTAACCCCTCCCTGCCACATGTTGATCCCCAGGGGGGCGACTTTCCCACGCCTCTCACACCGAAACAATAATCAGTCACACAAAATTTTGAATGAACATACGTTTCCGAGGACACACACAACGATATTTCACTACACACATGACCCACAGATCCGTACATAAGGAAATCGAGCCCTAAAATACAAGCCGGCCGGCTATAACCTTTCCACGCCCCCCCTTTCCCTATCATTTCACACTCACATTGAATGATCTATTAACTTACATAGAGATTTGTCATTTCGAGGAAGAGGTCCTCGTCCTCTAAATTAGGAAGTCCGGCACACATGTTTTTGGACACTGGAGACACAACACTCATACACACCGACTGGACTGAGTAGCTACTGGGCGAACAATGAGACAAGACACGACAAGTCGGTGATGGCCACGGGTGACAAGTGCACTATCCAGGATTTTCGAGATCTCGCAGACTTTTTACCATAATAAGGCCTTATTCGCATTTATTTAGATGTAGAATATTATTTTATAATTTCTGATACCAATTACCTTGATGGGGGTGCTGCGGGACGAGTGAGGCTGGCGCGCGGTCCAGGCGGAGGAGTGGGGGGGCGGCCGGCTACGCCACGCCACGGCACCGCAGCTCCCCGCTGCACTTCACCGCAGCGCGCCGCCCCCTTCAGAGCTGTACGGTGGCTGCGTGGGCTAGCGCACGTACTGCGGGGCGCCTCGCTCGGGGTTCAACCCCGGGTGGTTCCATGTCCGTTTTTCCTGCGCGAGAAGAGGAGAGGGGTAGGAGGAGGGGTAGAACATATGTACGGAGAGGATAACAAAAAATAAGACTTACCTGTTATCATTTTCTCTTCGCTCTCGCTGATGATCTTCATACGCGGTATAACTTATAGAAGTCCGACGTTGGCCTCGGGGCCGCGCACCACTTCCTTGACGCCTACCTCCACAGTTAGGTTACCCCCTCCATCGTACCGGTTCAAACAAGTGTCACCCACCCCTCCGCCGTACAAGTTCAAACCGGGGTTAGTCCCCTCTGACGTTGGCCTCGGGGCCGCGCACCACTTCCTTGACGCCTACCTCCACAGTTAGGTTACCCCCCTCCATCGTACCGGTTCAAACAAGTGTCACCCACCCCCTCCGCCGTACAAGTTCAAACCGGGGTTAGCCCCTCTGACGTAACGGCCTTCCGGGGTTACCCCCTCCATCGTACCACTTCAAAAATTAGGTTCAAACCCGGACGCACCCGTTCAAAAAAAATAGGTTCTAAGTTACCCCCTCCGACGTACCCGTTCAAAAAAATTAGGTTAGGTTACACCCCTCCGACGTACCCGTTCAAAAAAAATTGGGTTCAAAGTTACCCCCTCCGACGTACCCGTTCAAAAAAATTAGGTTAGGTTACACCCCTCCGACGTACCCGTTCAAAAAGTTAGGTTCAAGGTTACCCCCTCCATCGTACCACTTCAAAAATTAAGGCCGCGACCTGGAGGCATGCAAAATGGCGACCCGCGACTTGGGGGCATGTATACTACTAAGATCAATCTACTAATGAAAACGATAGATCAGAGGTCCAACTTGCGATTGCGACAAGAGTTGCATGTCCAAACATGTTTTGTTCACATGAAAAGTCAAATTAAAGCTTGTCCCCCACTTTTGTCAATCTCGGGGGTTACCGGATAGACAGGGTGGCAGGCGTGGCGGGCAAATCGGTTGCCGCCTGGGTAGAACATGCAGTACGTGCGAACGCCCAAAAGGTTACCGGAAAGACAAGAAGTGTTTCCGGAGGTTACCGGAAAGACATAAAAAGTGTCCGGGAGTTACCGGAAAGACATTAAATTCGTCCGGAGGTTACCGGAAATACCTAAGAATGTGTCTGTAGGTTACCGGAAAGACAAAAAATGGGTCCGGAGATTACCGGAAAGACGTAAGAATGTGTCCGGAGGTTACCGGAAAGACTAAAAAATGTATCCGACGGTTACCGGAAAGACAAATCTGCTTTATCTGTGTATGTAGGCAAGATATCGCGGTTTCGATCACACCATGAGCTTACTTTTGACGAGTTCTTACAATCGAGCTCATCTTACGTTTATCGCTGATTTCTCCTAATGCACTAGGTTTTTTTTTTTTTTCATTTTGACTTCACCATTGTCTTCCACATGAAAAAACCTTTCAAACGAGCATAAGGTTGATAGGGTTCTGATGTACCTACTGCTAAGTAGCGTCCGCCGCGCGCGGAGAGGGCGGAACCTGGAGAGTCGACAGCTGACGAAGATGTCTGCCCTGCCTTCCGCCGTTGTTGGCGTGCCTCTTCACACTCTTCCATTGCAAGTCGCACTGAGCTCACAGTCAGCGTCGGGGACGTCGTGGAACCCGTCTACCACGCCGTTAGGAATTCGTAGTCAGCAAGAAGCGACAGGACAAATTTTAGCACATTCGCAGTATCATCTACGACTACCCCAGCGTCCCGGGACTAACGAAGAAAGGCGTCGAAACGTGCACAGTAGTCCATAACCTTCTCCTGCCCCGGCTTGTACTTTATGTTGTTGAGCTTCCTGCCCACTAGAAGTCGGTGCTGGAGAGACTTACTCTCGTACCTCTCACACAAGGTGTCCCAAATCTCCTTTGCACTCTAACAATCCAAAGTTAGTTCCAGAGGAGCACCAGACAGGGTTGACGATAGGAGGGCCACACATGTTGCTTCCAGCTCTTCTTGTTCTTGAAGCCCATCCTGCTTTCACTTACGTACTGCCAGCGAGTCACGAAGTTCAGAAGTGTATTCCTCCCGGAGCGTCGTGACCTCCATCTGGGCTAGGCTAAGCATCTTAGGGTGCACATACACCAGGTGTCTTTCCATCTGGCGTTTCCAGTTGGAAAAAGCAGGCCCGCCCTGTCAGCAAATCACGTGACAGAAATAGTCGGGCCACAGGCCCGAATATCGCCACCGGCAGGCCCAGCAGGCCCGGCCCCTGCCGAACGGAGTTGCCGGCGGAGCGAAGCGGAGCTGGCAACTCCGTTTGACGGAAGGACGGGCCTGCTTGTTTATTATCAACAAGAATAGGCTTTGTAAGATACGACCTATGCATATACTTTTTTAGGTAGAGCTTTTAAATGTACCTACTGTTTCTGTGCCAAAAGTGTACATATTTTACTGAGTACTCAATCAGGTACAGCTGTGTATTCTAACGCATATGATTTAACATCTTTCTTAGGTAGGCCTAACTCGTGCAAGTAAAGTCCTATGGAAAAAAATTCGTCCGTTTGTCTGTATCTCTAACCGTTCAGGCGCCAGCGGGGGTTTTTCACGCGGAAATGACCCCAAAACACTTAAATGTTTTTCCTCACATATTTGAAGGTCTCTGGAGGGGTTACTCGTCAAAATAAAACCCTGAGGAGAAAAATTTGTGACTTTTGGGGCCGAAGGCCCATTTGCGACTCCTCTTTTTGCCCGACTCGGGTGTCAGCGCCGCAGGCCTAGGTAACAGTGTTTCGTGAGATATCGCAAAGCCTGTTACGCGAGACGTGGTCTGACGTACATCTACCTAGTAATAACATGGTAGTGATTTTCAAATTGGATGTTCATAATTATGAATTTACGGAATAGGATTGTTGTTTCTCTCTGAAAAGACTTTCGGTAGCTCATGCAACAATCGTAATGGCTGTGTCTTGTGTTGCAGTGCTTTCTTGCCCTTTGTCTTCTTTCTTCATCTTTTCTTTCTCTTCGTTCGACGGGGGTCGGGCCTACTTGGCATGCCGGCGGAAAGGTCTCATGGTAGTACAGGTTGTTCAAACATAAGCCCTGTACCCAACACGGGCACATGCCCTACAGCAAAGTCATTTAAGGTTCCACAACTTTCCGAAATTTTTGAACTGAAAAAAAAATTGGAATAAAAATTGTTGATGGTGACAGAAGAAGCTGAGTCAAGGCTTGGTACCATTACAAGTTCGATTTCACCAACACAGGCTGTCAGTATGCATAGGCAACCTAACAGTGATAGTGAAATCATGGACGCTCGACGCAGCACCATCACCCCAGTCCAGCTATTTTCCCGTGGGACAGAGAAGTCTGGGTTAGATTTCTGGGCAACCCCAACCAAACAGGGATGTGTACTGCATAGGCTAGGAAATCAACCGAACTACTGAACAAGATGTACAGAACTATCCTAATAGTATCTCAACCCGTGAAAAACGAAACGTATATGTGCCATATAATTCCCATACACGTACCGTATATGACCGGAAGATGCTGTATATGTTACATATACAGTGCCATATATGTGGACATATATGCTACCATATATGGGCTGCATTTACTATATATGGGAGAAATTCGCCGTATATGGGGGTAGTCTGCCGTATATGGGTCCATTTTGTGAACATGTATGTCATCATATATGGGTTTGGAGCACGCATCTATGTCGGAAATTCGCCGTATATGGGAAGACATTGTTAGATATCAATAACGTCTAAAATTGGTAAATATCCGTTGACGTTGACGTACGAAAACTCACTTTCAATACATATCGCAATGAGCACGAAATTTGGTCGACCGATCGTAATGCTTATAGCCTGATTTAACTTTAAGCCACAGTAATTAATATAACGACACATCGATTGAGATAGTTCTGATTTCCGCCGCTAGATGGCTCTCTAAGATAAAAAGAACATTTTACAGTCTTTTCTAACGTAAAATTACGTCAAGGACAGTTTTGGTCACGATTTTAACTGTGACCCTCTGAGGAATGACCTCCCTGATGCTATGCACACTTGGATTTTAACAGACACCATTCTGTGTCGTGAATAAACGTAATTGAATTTTATTCTCGCTGCTGATCAGAAACCGCGGTTTAATGACACCTAGGCGCCGTTTCCGTCCGTGCGTGAGGTATACACCACGTGCTTCGTAGCGAAGATGAAATTTTTGAAAAGTGTTGAATCAAGTCCGATCGGACTTGACGTCGCACTTCAATGGAGTTCTCACTCCAACTACCCATACTTGGTGAAAACGAATCACGATAGCCCTCCTCGGAGAACACTGTTACTTTTGAGCTTTTTGTTGCTACTTCACGTTCCCCAGCGAAGTACTTTCATTGACTGCACCCTAAATGCATCCACCAAGGTACGCAAACATTTGTCACCAGGGAACTTAAGGAAATATATGGCACTGACCACACGGCCCATATATGAGACAGATCATGAAATATATGTGCCATACATGGCGTGGCGTTTATGGCCAATATATGGCCGTATATGGCAATATATGGGATATATATGCACAAGTTATATGTCAAATATATGTTTGAGCGCGTCCGGACATACATGGCGCCATATACGTGCCGTATACAATTTTTTTTTTTCACGGGAATCTTTTGCATGAATTTAATCCTGACCCCAATAGTAGGAATAAACTCACGAAGCAGATCATTTGTAAGACTTTTGAGCAGATGAAAAGTGTACAGCTTTTGGCCTAGGAGGGGGGCAGAAAGTTACTCGTGTTGAAGTTTAAACCAACATAACCTACAACAGCCGAAAAAACTGGTTGCATGCAAAAATGAAAATACACGACCAATGAGTGGATTCAACCGAAAGGAAATTCGCCAAATAAGGAGTCTAAAAGAAAACCTAACTTAACATTAACACTTCGAAGCGCTGATAGGTTAAACTGCTGTAAAAAGTGGTGGAATAGAAACGTTACAAAGAGACCTAACCTCGATTAATACTAAGAAAGTCATCTTTTCAAAATCAGCGGAATCGATCACATGGCTATTCGCTCACAAACGAGAAGTTTACAACGTGTAATACACTCACGAAGAATGTACAGACAACAGAGGCTACCGCCGCCACCGGCTCGAATAATCACTTGCAAAAACAGGAATGAGATCTTGCATCTCATTGTGTCCGAACCACTTTTCAACGGTTGGATCCATCACGTACGAAAAAGGTGGCAAACACTTGGAACAAGATTGAAACGAAGACGACACCGACTTGCTTCTTGCTTGGATGAAACCAACGAGACCGACGAGCGGGAGAGTGCACTCTTTTCTCCACCTGCCTGCCTGCTCGGTCTGTCTGCCTGACGTTTGCGGCCAGCCAAGCTGGCTGCAACAACAGTGATCAGCTGAGCTGTTTGAATCGAAAAACAAAGGAAATCTCAATAATTGTTTGTAGTTAATAATTTTGTCGCTCATCGGTAAAACAAAATCTGACCGCACCATGAAAAATCACTCTACTGGCCAACAGGTGGCGCTAATTTGGCAGCGAAAATAAAGTACACCTAGTTGTTTTCCTTCTCCTGTTCCGTGCTGCAACATATCATGTCTCAAACCGTTCCCTGTGAAATGTCTGGTCATGACGACTGGGATCTGTACAGCAACCCCCAGGTAAGACTGCTACTCCCAAACTTCTTTCTGTTCCTCAAATGTTTAATTCACACTTGTCATATGTGTAAGTAACTCTGTGGGCTAGGGTTTGAAGTAGCAGTATTTTATTGGGTAGGGATATCTGTAAAAAGTAACTAATTACAATACTTCTATTACAGGAGATGGATAAAATGAGGAATAGAGCTCAGGAACTTGAAGAGGAACTCGCTCACAGCAACTGGCACAATGCAGTTTATCTAGCAGCTCTGGGTTCTGTTGACGGTGGTTTGGAGGCTTCGAAGGAAATGTTTTGCAAGGCGTCAAAGTTAGTCGAGCCTCTCTGCAAAGAATGTGAGAAGGACTATTTACTTCCAAAATTGAAAGAGAAGGATGATAGAAGTAGAAGTTTGCAGCGACAATTAAGTCCTCCATCTCCGATTCTTTGCAACGATGCAATAAAGGTACTCGGTTGCTGCTTATTAATGGATCGTGTGTTAATCAAGGTTAGTTAAATTTTAATGTAAAGTCTTAATTACAGAGGTCTCGTCTCAACTCATTTCAAGACCAAAGCAAATGATAGATGTATTTATAAACATGTGCTACTAGACAATATTTTTCAAATAACTATTATGTTATTATTATATCTTTTGTGTATGTAGAGACTAGTCAGATAATACTCCAAAATGAACTGTATTAATTGATGCATTGTTTTATTGTGATTGGTTTTGATAGCTGAAGGTAATTATCAGAGTTCAAACCCAAAGGTTAATTAATTTACACGGCCATACTCTTGTGAAAGTAGAATTTAGCTGGAAACCTTCAGTAATTGTTTTTGGTTTACTATGTGTAAGCTAGACTTTCCAACTTACTTTAAATAAAGAGGGTAGAGTAATTAAAATGTCTTCTGATTTCTTTTACATCTCAGTCAGCTTACTCTCATTTGAGCTGTTACAGTGACAAATTTTGTCTTTTATTCTCAAGCGCTGGATGACTAAGCCGCCCTCATGTAGGAAGACATTTATTGTAAACCAGATCTTCCCAAACACATTGGACGATTAATGCCGAACAAAATTTGTGTCTAGATAAGACTTATTGCATGTTAACAGACACTATCACAGTTATTATTAAATGTTATATCAGTAGATTAATAGATATTTAACAAGAAAAAAATAGGACAAAACATGATCTCATGTCATGTAATGTCAGCAGGTTACAAATTACTTTAGAAACGACCAAGTTACAAATATTATTAGGCGTTGTTGCAGCCATACAGAACAGGTGTGGCAATAATTCAAGAACAAAAATATTCTCTCAGGAAGAAAACAAATGCACTCTTTCATTTTTGACATTTGATGTACTTGGTTATAGCTCTACCAATAAAAAATGATAACAATAATGCCTCAGCAGTGGAGCAGATGACTTGTAAAGTGCTTCTGACATGGACTCACTGTGACATATAGAATGGTTTATTCTTTAGAATGTAAAACTGGGTGGATCTCTGTTATAGTTTCTACGTATTAAGTTAATTAAGTATGATGTTTAGTGTGTATGTAAGATATTTGCAGTAGTATGTCAACACCCTAAACATTAGAGGGTTGTTTAGAGTATCCAGTTAGAGTATAGTATTAGAATGAGCACATTCTAAAATCAAGAATATCGTTTTCTGGGTGTATGAGTGTCCTGAAAGGACAAACAACTCATCTGAGTCAGACAACCACAGTTTGTCTGTTCTGCTTCGCAAGAACCGTCCTAGTATCTGGCAGTGTGTTGGTAAGCACAATGATATTTTTTATTCCTGATGTTTAACTTTGCCCTCATGCTAGCTAGCTAGCTTTGCTTGCTTCCTAACGTAATTCTTTGTATCATGCAGATGCATTTCGGAGGCTGGAGTATTTATCCTGGATGGACAAGCTTGCTGCTGAACAAGGAAACCCTGTGAATCAGGAAAGAAAATGGTCAGCTGTCCTCAATGATAGGAGAGTGGCTAACCTATCATTGATGCTTGAGCGTCAAGAAATTTCTTCATGTCGGTTCCTGCACCAAGCTTCGTGGAGCATCTTGGCTGGAGTGAAGTATGGTCTCAGATTCCGTGGAGATAATGAAGAATCCGACGCTGAAAGTAGTTCAGACAGTGAGAACTCGTCTTCTGACAGTGACAGTGAGTGAAATTCTTATATCCGTGACTATCAGATGTTTTGAAAGTTTTGTTTTAGACATGTACTCAAGTTTTACTGCTCGTAATTTTTGTTACTAGTTTTTACCCTCAGTTCAACTTTTATTTGTTTTATTGGAGTGTGACCTTATTCTTAATGGTATTCTGCCGTATATAAAAGTGTTGGACGTTTGTTCTCAGGTTCTGTTTGTAAGTTTTCTGACTAGTTCTGCCTTCAGTTCAACTTTGGAGTTTGACTTCTCATTATTCTTAATAGTATTCTGCCTTATGTAAAAGTGTTGGACGTTTGTTTTCAAGTTCTGTTTGTAAGTTTTTTTTGTTTGTTTTTTTATTTGTAAAACTGCCAGGTTCAAGGGAAAGCCCTGTAGGGACGCTTACACAAATGAGTGATTTATTGGTGTTTACAATTTGATAATAAATTAGTAAAATTTAACAATAACAAGGTAGATAGAAACAATGATTTTTGACTAATTATTACGGAAGGCTTGCAAGAAGAAAGTCTTGCATTCAGCTTAAAGTTTCCTATAGATAAAAGTGTCAATTATTTCATTAGGCATATTATTATAGATCTGGATTGCCTGATAAAGAGCACTTTGGGTTCCATAATGCGATGAGTTAATCTTTGGTATCTCAATCTTCTCTTTTATCTTTGTAGAATGGTCATGTCTCTGATGATGAAATCTAACATCAGAATTTAGTGTCTTCCTGCCACTTATGTGATTACACAACATTAGTACTAGGTAGATGTACGCCAGACCACGTCTCGCGTAACAGGCTTCGCGATATCTCACGAAACACTGTTACGCTGCGACGCGCCTGGCATACATCTACC